ATGACTGTGCTCTCCACTGAATTTTGCCCCAAAACTGAATCTGATACCCGCAGATATAACTGATTCTCAAAACACTGATATCGATGCCCGTAGGCCTGATACCCAGACTTGCAAACTGATATATGCATTCATGTAGAGACACACTCTAAAAGCACATAGCAAACAAGTGAGAGCCAAAAACACCCCTATGGAGGGGTAGGGTTTCCCTGTCCTATTTTGTCAGGAGATAGCGTTTCACTACGCACGCAGCGGTTTCAAACAATCTATAATCGGGTAAGCAACTTGTCCTAGCTTGGAATGGTCACTGCGGATTTCGATATGCACTAGGTCGAATGGTCAAAAAGGATGCCCCGATAAAAATCGGGGTTTGTGTTCCCATCGTGGCAGAGCCCGTAACCGGTCAACCTTATGGCACGCTTCTCAAAGCGAGCCTCCGGTAAACCGTTCAAGAATAGCAGATGGCAAATACGGCGTCCTAGGCGCACCAATGCACATGTAATGCAAAGAAACACATAAGTGTAGTCAAAACAAGATATCATGAGTTCGAGTCAAGTTCTCTAATTCCCCAGCAGATTTGCCAGAAACTGTAGACGTCCCTGAACGTCCCGTTTTGTCCATTGGGCTCACTACAGTTCAGACTCAATGTCTCGGTCCTGTATCTAATCTCGTAGAGTGCAATGCAAGACCGATGAATCATCAAAGAGTCCAAATTCGGCAAATCATTTTGAAAAATTGATTTTTAGAAAGAAGGGCCAAACATGGACTGCTTTGCCAGATACTGAGTCGCCACCTAAATATTTTATTTTGGGAGAATTTAGGAAACCTTGACTCGTGCCTAAGGCCACGTGTCCGTCATCACCAAAGTTGCCTCGGCTTGGGAACTTGGGTACGATTGGGGAAGGTCACTTTGAGAGCACCCCCGCTCGCCCGATCAAAGATCGGCCTCTACTAACCATGATATCGAGTTTTGAAAATATTATGTGCTCTTATTTCGGTTATTACCCTAGAATTACTATGTGATGCGCACAGCATTCAAGTATAGACTAGATTGCCTAAGTTAGAACAAAGCATCGCATATCCGATTGTTTTGAAAATGGATTGAAGTTTGCTACTCGTAAGTAGGCTAAAACACGGGTTTCGACGAATTATTCCAACTCAGCAACCCAACCTTCACCCATAGGCATTCAGGCAGTTATATCATATAAGCACATAGCCTCATGGTAAGCATGCTATCATGGCAGTCACTCACACATATGCAAGGATGCTAAAGCATGAACACTTACCGAGTACTCCAAGCCAAAGAAAGAAACTAATTAGAAAACATGCATGAATCCTAACTATGCTAAAAATGCCTAATGCAACACATGCAAAAATGCAACTAAGATAGGCTCAGCTATTCTAAAATGGCATATGAAATGCAACAACTGATACACGTATTCAACTCAGAATTGAAATACAATGCAGTTAGTATGATGCGCCGAGCCTGGTGCATGCGAGACATATGAATGCATGCAAACATACGAGCATAAGGATGATAATTTAAACGTGCCCTCAAACTAACCATCATAAGCTGGTAAATAAAAGGGAGAAAGACATGGGGTTGGAAGACATACATCACACACACGCACACTTATTACAACATTGCCCTCATCTGAGGGTCCAAATAAATAATACACAACCGAATGAATAACGAATTACAGCTAATTATTACACAACCCTAATTAATTAACAAATTAACTAAAATAAATAAGCTAGCATGCAAAACATATGAAATGGACTGCCTCAACTCGGTCTTGAATGACAAGGAATGCATGCATGCTCGAGTCGCCTTGCCGGAAAATCCATCGCGATGCCCCGATTTGCCTTTGTTTGCAACTGGTCCCAGAACACTGCACAAAACTCCAGAAGGCTGAAACTCCACCATGCTGTAGGGATACTACCGACCAGTTTTTGCTGCTGGCTTTCGACTTGCTGTAACAGAGAGCAAGAAAGGGGCATGGCAAAGTATTTTCAACATATGTGTGCACGACCACTCTCCCCATCATTGCATGAGCTCTAGGGAGTGTGGTCTTTGATCCTCGTGCCACCAATCACGCATCTCGATGCATGATGGCCGAGGAGTCGGATTGCATGACTCAATGTCAAATGGATGCACAAATGAACACAATAAGGCCTAAACTCCATCATGGGTAATCCGGAGTGTCGGCGACCGAGAATAGAGACACGTTTCGTCACTTGGAGTACGAAACATCCCTCGTTTCCCGTGTCTAGACTAAACCCTACTCCAAACACAATGCAATACACATGGCATGCATGAATGCAACTCTAACATGCAACCTAAACATAATGCCACTAAATGATGCAAACATGCAAATGATGATATGCAAACATGCTACTAGCATACACAATGCTATGAAATAATCAATGGCATACTCAATGCACATGAAAACTATATGGCATACGCAATGCACACATGAAGACTAACAATGAAATGATCAAGGCATACACAATGCAATGGTCAATCATGCAACAACATGGACTAAATGGCATACACAATGCAAGATGGGCTTAAACTAAAATGAATGGGCCTCAGCCACACTCAAATCAGTGGCCAAACATGATGAAATTAAAGGCAGGAACACTCATGCAAACATGCCCAATGCAAGGGACCGAACTAAAGGCATCGAATGCCGCTCTACCAAAGCATGGCAAGGGATGAAATATGGCATACAATCATACATTTTCCAGCTCTAAAATGACATGCAAGATGGTCCCGAATCATGTAAACACCTCACACAATGTATGCTAGATGGCCTGAATACCGAAACTAATGAAGCGCATTACACTAGAGGTACGCAAAGCAATGCACAAATGGAAAAACCAGCCCCAAACAGACCCTAGGCAGGTCCAAGACAGTGGGAAAAGTGGACTAAAATGATGGCTCGAAAGGCATGGAAATGAAGCTCATGCAATGGTCCAAAAATGAGGCATACAAGCACGACTCTCAAACGCATTTAAAGAGTGGAAAGCATGGGAATATGGCATACATGTAAGCTTTGAAATATGATGCACAATGGTCCCAAAACATGGAAACACCTCAACATAAGCATGCAATAGGCTTCAAAACTCAAAGCTAGGCAAGGGTATTGAACTACAACCATGCATAGCAAGCATCATTCGACCATGAGGCATAAAAATAGAGCTAACGCAGTCCAAAACATGCACAAAATCAGTTTAAAGCATGGCCAAAAAGTGCTAGAGTCAAAGGCCAAAATAGCATGCAATGTAAGCTAGTAAAGAGGATTTGCACTACAAGCATGTGAGGCAATCAAGAGGTCACCAAACTAGAAAAATCTAGAGGTATGACATGCCAAATAAAGCCGAAAAAACCACTGAAACATGGTCTATGCATGCCAGAATGATAGGCTCCTTTGATAGGCTATAAAGAGGGTTGTTCTACACATGCAAGATGGACTCCCAAAATGGAAAAATGGGCTCTGGACAGAGCCTATGCAAGTCCTAAAACCCACCAAAAATGGCCTAAAACATGGCTTGGAAGCATGCAAATAAAGACTCCTTTGTTAGGCCAAATATGTTAGTAAACAAGACAAGGGGTGAGAGGGTCACCCCTCTCTGATTTTGGTGCTCAAAACAGCATGCTAGCCACTGAAAATCCACTGGATTTCAGTGGCTAAGAGACCAAACAAAGGTCAATGCAAAGGCCCTAAGGCATGGCTCAAAATAAGATGAAATGAAGCATGCAAAGGGGGTAGATGACCCCCAATAGAAAAATGGTCTTAAACAAACATGTTAAGGACCTCAAAATAAGACTTTTTTCAGTTTATGATAAAGCCCAAATATGCTTGCAAGTATAGCAAAAAGATGAAGCAAAATAAAGACCAAAAGGGAGAAAGTGTGTTACCCTTGTAGCTCAGCAACTCTAGCAGCTTTTGGATAAAAAATGTAGCTCCTCAACCTCTAAAAAATGCCTCCAAGAAACTTAGGTTGGTGTTGGAGGGGTTAGGCTAGGAGATGATGTGCAAAGGGCCAAAAACTTCACACTTTCTAAGCTTAAAGTGAGAGAGATTGAGGGAGATAGATGTATATGCCTTAGAGAATTTCAGAACCTTTTGCAAGGAAGATGAGGGCCTCTCTTATAGAGATATAAGGCCAAATCTTCTCAAAGAAGCTACAAACCAAGGCCAAAGATCCTCCATACACGTGTATGGAGGATGCAGTCGGTGCCTCGCAACTGGCATAGTTGGAATCAACTCACTAAGACAGAACTGGAGGGAGTAGGCTGACCAGTTCAGGTGGTCGGCCAGCCATTTCAAAAGGGTCAACTCAACAAAAAGTGGTCGGCAGCCCCATTTGGTGGTCTCTCAACTGAATGCAAGCTAGTGGTGTGGTGGGAGACCAGCAATTGTGGCCCAAAAATGAGGGAGACCAGTTACTTGTCAAAAAATCGGCCGGCGGTAGAAAAGTGGTCTCCAAGGAGAAAAGTTAGTCTCCCACCCTTGTACCACCTTCCAAACAATGAAAATAGGGTCCATGCCAAAAATGAACCAAGACGGATGCAAAACGAGGGTTCGGGGGTCAAAACGCGCAGCCGAGTGCCTCGAAAACAGGCTGTTAAGCATCGAAAGTGGCGTGCGACCACAAAGGTGGTCTTCTGGGCCACAGTGTCCCTCTAGAGAGAGGAAACAAAGTGTGTGCCAAAAACCGGAGCAAACGGAGAAAGTTAAGCGGTCCCGAACCGAGGCGCACGGCCGACGGCTCCGAAAACTTGAAACTGGTCTCCAAACGGGAACAGTGGTCTACGACCACGAAAAGTAGCCTACGACCATTGAGAGATGGTCTACGAGACTTCTCCCTTCCTTCGGGAAGAGAAAACAGAACCTGGTTCGCAAATCGAGACAAAGCACAAAAGAGTCCCGAAGTCCGGAGGCAAGGCTCTCAGCCGAGACTCCGTAACCTGAGCACAACATGCACAATCACTGAACGCTCAATCGATGACGTCTGAGTCTTAAGGTAGGTCAAAAATGGGGTGTCTACACTAGTATATTAATGTATGTAGATGAAAACGCCATATGCTCTCATGTTACCTCCACTGGCACAGTTCATGTTATCACTTTGTCTCAACTATGAATAAGCAGCCAACCAGCCCACAGAAGCACAGGATCAGATTAACTTACGCCTCCAGTATTGAACTGAGATTTATAAGCCAAACAAGCAAAAAGTTAGTCATAAGTTTGATAATGGAAATCATTATTTATTTATTTATATAAATACAGATTTATTGAAAGAAAGAAAGGCATCAAGAGGTGGATGACATTGGTGTCCATCAACACATTAGACAAAAGCAAAAAACTTTACATCCACGCTAGCCTTAACACATAAGCCAACCATAACTGAATCATTAGACAAGCAAAATTTTGTGACTTTCAGCTGAAGTTAAAATTTCTCACCAATTGAATAGTAAAGGTAGATAAATACACAGAATGAGTACTGTGAGGAGGATGAGAATTAGCATATGCACAAGAACAATCTATGTGATTTGGACTCTTCTATTGATAACTTACATTTCTTGCAGATATTGGCTCGTGACAGGTTGTTGGGCTCATATAAGGTACTAATAAATGAACAAGATTCATTGAATTTGTAATATTGCAGATCAACAAATAAACTGATACTATATTTCTCAGTAGAAAATAGTTTACATACCAATTGTTTGCAACAATACATTGCAATATACACACAAACAGAGTAACATAAATTGCTTATGACTCTTTATTCCTCTAGGTCAAACCAGTTATCAAATTGCTGAAACAAACACTAGTCGGAACAGGGGCATTATTAGTTTCAGCAGTGTTGTTATTTATCTTTGCTACCCCAGTAGAGGATTTCATTCAGAACACTTTTGCAACAGGAGCAAACTCATCCAATGTTTCAGCTTCAAAGATCAACAAAAAAAACAATATAAGGTATTTAAATAGATTTAGTTTCCTAATCTGCAGCTTAGATATACTGATGTTACTTTGATTTTGCCATGGCTATGTCTATGTAAATATATAGAAAAGACGAGCTGCTAAAATTGCCCGTGGAGGTGAAGTCTGATGATGATCTAGCAGCAGCTGCTGCTGAAGCTGCTGATGGAAGGCCAGTCTACTGCAGGGATAGGTTTTATCGTGCATTAGCAGGAGGCCAGTACTGCAAATGGGATGACCTAGTTAAGTAATCAAGACCAAGAAAAGCATAGATCATGTTCACATTCAAGTTACTTTTTTTTCTTTTTTTTTTTTAAAGTCACATTCAAGTTACCTATATATGGTTTGTTATTTGTACTCACTAGCGTAAAAACAAGTTCAATATATTATTCATTATTTTTAGGGAAACAATTAAGATGATTTGAATGAAAAAAAAAATTGAAATCAAATCACTAAGACTGTGTTTGGTTGGGAGATTTAGGAAGGGATTTAGACTTTTCCCTTTCTAAATTCCTCTTCAAACCCCCCAACTAAACATAGCCTAAGGGAATCAACCTCATAGAATTGTGGGAAGATATTTATTAACTGATAATTGCTTAATATATAGGAACCAGAAAGGTTACAATATGACTGAAAATTGTCTGATAAAGTTACAATGGAAAGAAAAAGAGGCTAACTATCAGATACGAATTGAAGCTGATATGAACAAATACATAAACTTGAAGATGTCGAACAAGCAAATACAAACCTAAGTTATTTTTCTCCTTCAACCGACGGTAAAAAATAATTGTTATCTTTTTATCTCATCCTAATCAAATATAATACGATAATAGCCAGTTCCTTTATTCAATTCTTTATCCCAAGGTAAAGCTGATTCTGCTAGTGATATGTTTTGTAGGACATTTTAAGTGGCTCTGCTTCTTTCCGATTCTGTTATGTTCTATTTTCCTCCATATACCAAAACAAAAACAAAAAAAAACAAAAAAACAAAAACAAAAGCACAAAAGCATTTGAAGTGAATGTGTGCCAATTCTCAGCTGAATATAAACCCTAAACCCTAGTTCATTCCATTTTTCTTAGACTCATTGTTTTGAAACATATAGACTAATCTCCGTTCCTACTTCAAGTATATCTTTCTTGCAAGTTAAATTTAATAATACTAAGCAACAAATATCTCCATCAAAATTCAACTAGCAATTGGAAACAATTTCTGTAAGAACAGAGACATATTCAAACCATCAAAACATGTTACATAGCCAAATCGATAGAAATTTTCATTGAAGAGCTATAAACACAACACAATTCAAAATACCTCATAAGCTGCTGCGAGGATTCGAACTAATCGTCACGAAGCAGAGGAATCGTTCGACGAATGAGTTGGTTTCGGCGACCCCCAAAGAGGCCGTAGGCATTTTGGCTGGCGAGTTCAATCGGAGTCGACTCAGTGCTGGTGCTAAGCTGACCCACCAGTTTCTTCTTTGATCAAAGAGATAGTCAGTTAAGCAGTACTGTTGGTGGAATTTGATGGCGGTTTGATTAAATTGGACGGTGTGATAGAATAGGCCCACGAGAGAGAGGTCCATTCGGTTTCACGATAACACAGAAAATGACGTCATGACGATCATGATACATCAGAGAAATGGAAACAAAAATGCTAGAGATCTAATGGATCTGAAAATTCCATTTCCACCCACTAAATTATTTGTGCGTACATTTTTTTCAATCCATAATTTAGTTTTTACTTCTTTATCTCAAGTGTCTCTATTTACATATCACATCTTGTCTCAAGGTAAATTATTATTCAAAGCACACCTTTAATTATTTTGATAAATAAATATTTGGGTGATTCTACTTACACCACTATTTAACCTCTTTACACCTTTCATCTCATTATACCACTAAAAAAAATGTAATTCTCATTACACCCCCAATATATTACCAAAATTAATCCTAAATTAACTATTTCATCTCTTTACACCACTAATTTTGGTAACACGATTTACATTATTCCGGTGTTATGTTACCGGAAAAAATAGATCTCTCCAACATTTTGTTACTATACATTTACAAAGTCACTTTCTTCCAAACAATGATTTCTTAATTTGTGGTAGGTATATTCGGTAATACAACGCTAATTAATTTGAATTACTCCAATGCCATGTTACCAAACAATATTTTTTTCCCCAGCATTATGTTGCCGTCCAATTAGATGATATTAAGTTGGGCCACTTGTGAAGTGCCTGTTCAGTGATATATTGTTATACAGATAGGATTACTCTAGTGTCATGTTGCCAAACTACAATAGAGTTATCTAGGCCCCCATCACTGTACATTGAAAGATTTAGTTTTTCCTTGAAGCATCCATAAAAAAATTCATAAATTAAACACACATCCATAAAATCATACATAAAATGTATCCATAAAATGATTCATAAAGACATCAAGTGTACAAATATCCTTAATGTATTCATAAATCTGTAATTGTTTGCATCCATCAATCAAATATGTTATCACAATTTGCCTTAGTAATTTGTAGGTAATTTTTCCCCCCTTAATAGAAAGAGACATCCACACTTTTTAGAACCTGTCAATCTCAATCGTTCTCCCTTAATCTTCGTGTTGTCTTTGTAGTAACCACTTCTTTCTTTGTAGTAACCACTTCTTTCATAAGCAAGTGTAAGTTATGGTTTTCTGCCATTACCTCCCACATCTGATATCTTTACAATAATGACAAATCCAGTATTCTTCCCAACGTCAGAAGAACATTTCATTAATGCTTCACGACTACTAAAAATCTAAAGATAATAAATACATTTATACGTCAAATTATTGATAAAACTCATTAGAAATTAAAAATAAGAAAAAAATCGTATTCATAAAAAAAAAACTTAACAAACCTCATCTGTAATGAATTCACGACTAAAGTTCACAAATATTGCAGTAGTTGCGTTGTTGCAATGAGTATAAATATAATCCTTCCAGGCAAAAAAATAAAAAATACAAAAAAAATGAAACTGAAAATACATGGTAATGAGAAGCCGAACAAATTAAAAAAATTAAGTTTGGGGTTACTAGAAATGTATCTTTCATTCGGTAGTTGGTTACCAGACTTATATTTTTTATTCAGCAATGTGATGCTGGACTATTTTATTTTGTTCAATTTTGAACCACCGAACGAAATTCAAACAACAGTCCAGAAAAATGAAACAAAAACCTACCAAATAAATAAAAAAACTCACCATTTTACTTTTTTGATGGTTCTTCACTAGGGCTGCAAACGAACCGAGCCGAGCTGAGCTTTGCTGAGCTCGAGCTCGGCTCGTTTACTTATCGAGCTCGTTTATGGAGCTCGAGCTCGGCTCGATAAGGAACTGGGTTCGAGCTCGGCTCGTTAATATTAATGGAACTCGAGCGTGGCCCTTGGCTCTGCTTGATAATTTTTTTAATATTATTTAATATATAAATAATATATTTATTATATAATTTAAATAAAGATAAACAAGCCGGGCTTATAAGAGCTCAAACTCAGCTTATTTATATATTATTTAATATATAAATAATATATTTATTATATAATTTAAATAAAGATAAACGAGCCGAGCTTATGCGAGCTCGAGCTCAGCTCGTTTACTAAACGAGCCTAATATTCGAGCTCGAGCTCGGCTTGTTTACTAAACGAGCCGAGTCGAGCTTGTTCATGAACAGCTCGGTTCATTTGCAGCCCTATTCTTCACCACCATTTCTTCATCTATTGTTTTATTTAATGATCAAAATACTATGATTCTCACTTTTTGAAAGAGATGTGTAAGAGAAAAGAAAAATTAATAAAGGAAAAAAGGGGAGTAGGGATTGAAGACCAAGGGGTGTAAGGAGATAACAAAATATATTTAATTTTAGTGTTTTGTCCTTAAAGGTAATTTCACACATGGATAAAATTGAGAAGAAAAAAAAAACTCATACGGAAGGTGTAAAGAGATAAAGTAATGGTGTAAGTAGAATCACCCTAAATATTTTACTCAATACACACCACAATCTTCCATCTTTACCCTTTCTTACACACGATACCCACAATCTATTCACAATATTCTATCTTTACCCTTACTCTGGTGAGGAATCAGATGGAGAGGAGAAAAGCGACGTCGGTGAGGAATCAGATGGAGAATTCGAAGTCTAATGATCAGCATCGGTGGCCTAGGAGATCACTAGAAGTGAATTTTCTAACATGGAGTTTGGATTGTACCGTTGAGAAGAAAAAATTAGGTGGATCTGGAAGTGTAGTTAGGGCATTGCAACAATCCATGATTATCAAGAGCATCAAAACTTCATTTAATGGCAGCACAGAATCGAACTGAGTGCAGTTGTTCGATTGTTTTTAACCGAACGAATAGTGTTTGTTCAATACTTAAAAACTGAATATTTGGAGAAAGTTCGACACAATAAAACCGAACATATACAATTTGTTCGGTTAGGTAGTCGAACATTAATTTATTATTCGACTCTGGAAAACCGAACTTATACAAACGGTTTACCACTCAGCAAGTAAACCAAAACGAAAAAAAAACTAAATAAATAAATAACCTTTTCCTTGCTCCATTGTTCCGAATGAGTATTGCCAGATGTATCCATTATTGAATCCAATCAAAATCTTCAATAATATGTATATTTTTGGTTATTTCTGTAAGGATTTTTAGTTTTTGTTTTAAGGTTTTTGGATTCTTAAGAGACAAGATACGTAAGTAATACGTTTGGAATTGTTGATATGTACTATATTTATTATTGTCCTTTATAGTAATTATACAAATGGTATATATCATAGCTTGTCTTTTATAGTCATTTTACCTAAGGTTAAAATTGTAATAAAAAATAAACTAACTAATGGTGTTTCTTGAGACAAAATGTTGTGTGTAAATAGAGCCTCCCCACATACTTCAAATTCCAAATATACCCTCACCTTCTCTATGCACATCCTCTCATTCCCAGCCTCTCATAGTCTCTCGCGTTGCCATTACCTCCATCGCAGACTCTCTCAAACTCTTCAATGAACCTAAAGCTTCTACACATGGCGCATAAACCACTAAACCAATACTTGAATTCATAATCACTGTTTGTACCTCTTGAATCTTCGGTTTTTCTTTATCTGTAATTACGTGAAGCTTTTCTCCAAAGAGATTGATTTTTGATTTATTTTTTCATTGAATTTGAAACTCTTGAGAGTTAGGGTTTCGCAATTTGTCGATACAAAGCAAGTTTTCGCCATTTTGGAGTTTCACGAAGCTCTGTGTAAGGTATGTAATCGCTAGATCTCGTTTTGCATATGAATATATATATATATATATAGAGAGAGAGAGAGAGAGAGAGA